ATTTATGTATGTATGTATATGTATACATATATACATACATACATATATATGTATGTATGTATGTATGTATGTATGTATGTATGTACGAATAGTACGTATGTACGTACGTATATATATATATATATATATATATATATATATCATGATTTATAGTGCATCTGCTTACAAGTTCTCTGCCCTTTTCTCTTTTTCCCCAACCCCGTGCCTAGTCCTGGACTGCCTGTACGACACCATACAGTTATGTTTCTTCGACAATACCACTACGGCCCTGGCCTGGAAGAGTCTGAGTCTGATTCTTTCCAAGCACGCTGATCCTCTACTTGATAGTTGGGTACGTTCTCCAGCGCTGTTCGGCGAGCTGTCTGGTATTGCCATGGATGCCATGCTTGCTGCTTGTACCCTGCAAGCGCCTGCGCTTTCCCGCGTTTCCGACAATGTGAAGGAGAATACACCGCCAGAGACGAACGAAGACAGTAGAGACAAAGCCGATAGCAGGCGCAGTAGCGCTGAGCAAGCTGGAAAGCTCACAGAGAGTGCGAAATACTGTGAAGTGCCGAGTGAGGTCTCTATGGCGGAATCGCCCGAGTACATAGCGCTGTTGGAGAATCGATTAAAGGTTAGCGTGCGCTTCGGAGTACAAGCCCAAGAGAGTTGCAGCTGTTCCATACATTATGTTTTTATGTTTGTAAGCTCGCAGATAAGACATTTGAGTTCATAGGGGGGCGATAACGATACGTGTGTGGTGACCTTGTGCGCATATACGGTATGTTTGTATGTTAGTTGTACATCGAATGAAGCACTCTGACTGTTCTCTTACTCCCCTTCATTGTTCTCATTCTCATCCAACTCGAGACTTTACTGCAGCTTTTGTTTTCAATCCAGAGAAAAGTACGATGTTTATGGCTGATCTCCAACAATCGAGTCTCTTTTTTTTTGTTAATATATCCTCTCGATCCCACGCACCTTCTCCCTTCATTTCGTTTCCCTCAGGTGGCCCGTTTCTACTTCTCGGCGCTCTTTCGTTTGTGCAAGCCAGCTGTATGCGCTCCACTGCTTGTAGATGTGTTCAACAGGCTGTTCGAAGCACTGCTGCTTCTCCAAATGCGGATGCTCAGCATCTCTTCGCCTCTCGTGCGGGATGTATTCATAGCGGTGTGTAGGTGTGCTGTGTATACCTTGGCTTTGGTTTATATGTGCGTGATGCTTTAGAGTACTCTCCTAAGTGTGGTGTACTGTGAGTGTCTTGATTGTGGGTTCTATGTGTGAGGTCCTTTGTTGTGCCCATTTCTTTTTTAAGTGTATGTGCACGGTGCTCATATTAGTTTTGGATTATATTCGCTTGATCCGTTGACGCCCCCTTATAAAGTGTAGGTGTACCGAGCGTGTCTTGAGTGTAGGTTGTATGTTCGTGCTACTTTTTCGTGTGCTTTGGGGTGTAGGTTATATGTGCTTATCTTAGTTGTGAGTTGTATATGGTTGATGCTTAGTTTGATGCTTAGTCAAACCCTTTTATAGTGTAGGTTGTATGCGCGTGTCTTTATTGTAGGCTACATGTGCGTGCTTCTTTGTCTACTTCGTCGTTTCCTTTTTATGAATATGTTAAATGTGTGTGGCTTGATTGTAAGCAATGTGTGCGTGATCCTTTGGCGTACCCCTTTTCAAGTAGACATGTACAGTGCTTGCGCTCATTTTGTATTTGATATGCGTGATCCATCATCGTGACCGCATTAGGTGTGTGTGTACTGTGCGTGTCTTGACTGTAGGTTGTATACCCATGCTTCTTTGTCACACACAGCCAAATGTAGACTACGGTCCGGGTCATTCAATATGTACATTCTGGGCTGCAAGATTTGAAGTACTATCCAGTACTGTATCTGCAACTAGAACGGTCTGAATGTGATAACACCACATTAAGTCGAGCCATCCAGAAACTCTGGCACGACAAATTATGCTCTCGTCAAACAAGCTGTACACACACACACATATATATGAAT